GTGATGTGACATGGCTGCATTCATGGCTGCATTCATCACAGCTTTGTAATCCACTCCGGGGGCAAACTGCCTCCCCTCTGGAGCACAAAAACACAGGCCTCCGAGAGTGAAATGATACAGAGTCAAAGAAAAAGAAAGAAAGGAGAGCAGAGGTAGGCAGAGAGGGGGCGGGACCATTAGCCCACGGGAGAGAAAGAGGCTTATCAGTGATGAGCTGTCTTTTTCTTTTTTTTTTTGCCCAAAGCAATAGTCCACGCCGCAGACGAGGAAGACGAGGAAGAGAGGCCGGTCCATTCACTCCATTATTTCGTTTTCCAAGGTTTCCAACAAAAGAAGACTTGGTCGTGAAGTAGAAAAGAGCCCGCTGGTGTAAAAATCAAATATGGAGAAGATGCAGACACACTAAAGTCTGTGATATTCACGGGCTCCACTTGTGCATTCCCGTCTGCGCCTTCACTGAAACCCAATCTGGCTGGAGAGTGTGTGTGTGTGAGTGAGTCAGAGGGGCCGAGAGGAAAAGGGGCTCCGCAACAAAAAAAGGCAGCAGGGTGGGGTGGGAGGGTTCCTGTCTGTTTCTTTAAGATGCCAGCCGGTCAGTCAGAAAGGGGGATACCAGCAAACATGGCAACCTGCAGCCCTGCAGCACAGTCAGGGAACTTTAAGCCACTTTGTTTTTCTCTTGTTATCCAGAGTTAAAGCGTCTCCTCCTCCTCCTCCTCCCTCCTCCTTCCTCTCTTTCTTGTTGTTCTCTCTCCTGCCCTCCTTTTTCAGCAAGTCTGTTTGTTTAAAGCCGTCTGCCAGAGCTCGGCTGATCTGCACCAAAGCACGCCTGCTTTCCTTTTCGCCTCGGAACACGTTTCCAACACTCACAGGAGGAGTTCTCTTTTTCTCAACTGTTGCACAGTGCAGCCCGTGGCCTGCATGTCAAATATGCTAAATACTCCACTCTTTCTTTTTAACCCCCCCCCCTCTTCCCGTCCAAATCGCCCACCCCCTCCTCTGTCAGTTGCACTTCAGCTGTCATTGCCGCGTCCAAGGCAAACGTCTTTATAGAAACAAAAGGGGTTTGTCACTGGTTTGCCGCGCACACCCACATGCAGCGCTCGCGAAAAAACTCTCACGTGACCCACGACAATCCACAACAAGATTTAGATCCAAGCGTTCGCAGATGTGAAACAGGAGAGCGGCAGAGAAAGAGGCAAAATATAAAAACATTAAAGTGCAAAGGAGGCACGAGGGACATCCAGAGACTGATAAACAGATTAAGCCCTAATTAATTTACTCATTCAAATGATCCCACCCCCTTTCTCCCTCCGCCTCAGTGACTATTGACAGGAGCAGAGTCAATGGCTCCACCCATGACACCCCCATGATCTATTTAAAATTGAATTGGATTAGTCGATTCTTCTGCGTCCCCCTGCTCTGCTTTGATTCTCATTCCTTCCTCAGTCGTCACAGCTGGTTTAAGAGTCACAGAAGGAGAAGGAGGAGGAAAGAGTGAAGGGACGAGAGGATTAGGAGTTTAAATTTTCCCCTGGGTTCACTCGGCGCTGCCAAACTTGACTTGACTGCGTAGCTTTGGATGACGGCGTCTAATAATGGTCACACACACACACACACACACACACACACACACACACACACACACACACACACACACACAATGCTGTTGCGTTAAAGTTACAGTCTCACACTGTCGTCTGTGTCTGGAGGCTTGGAACCACTTAGCTGCACTAAGTGATATCAACACAAACACAGGTGGAGCGCACAAAGTGTATCATTGACTTTTCTGGGTCATTTATTTACTCATGGGGGGGAACACCTGTCGTCAGGAAAATACTCTCTTCTCCCTCTCTGCTTTCCTCCCTCCCTCTCTCCCAAACCAAAGTTAATCTTTAATCCATCTTTTCAAAAAAACGTCATTTCATGTCATTTTCTTACTCATCGCCTTGTTTTTCAGTCTCTCTCTCTCTCTCTCTCTCCATCCGTCCCACTCTCACTTCTCCTCTGTGGTAACCTGGCAGCAGGAAAAATGAAGCAGCCATGTCCTCCTCTGTCTCTCTGTGCTTTTACTCTCCAGCCCACCATCCATCTTTACACTCTCAGGGGTAGTTTTATATTAACTAGCCGAGCATTTCACCTGCCTGCCAGTGTGTGTGTGGTGTGTGTGAGAGAGAGGGAGAGAGAGAGGGAGAGAGAGAGAGAGAAAGCCTTTATTGTTTTCAACCTTGCTCAGGCAGAGAGACATGCACAAAGAGAACTGGACCCAGCTCACAAATACTAAATGTCACACACACACACACACACACACACACACACACACACACACACACACTTTAAGCAAATAAGGCACACCTCCAAACTCAATAACGCCAATAAATAAACCCGTCAATCACCTTTACACACCACTGTCTGACTCCTGGTGGTGAAATGGTAGTTTCAGAGTTTGCAGATTTGCTGTGTGTGTGTGTGTGTGTGTCTGTGTGTGTGTGTGTGTGTGTGTGTGTGTGTGTGTGTTTTCATTCAGGCGGCATGGTACAGTTTAATGTCCATGTGTGATTACTGCAGGAAGAACTTTCCACATTATAAAGACTTCAGAGGTCAGTTCTCTGTGGTGGGTTAGAACATTTGGGGGAGTGTGGTTAAAATAGACTCATCCTCTCTCTCTCTCTCTCTCTCTCAGTGACCTCATCTAACTCTCGCTCCCACACACAAAACAACACCTGTGAGGCTGCCTGCTGGGAGGTCAGCGCTGGGGGTCATCTCTCTCTTTCTCTCTCACTCACTCTCTACCTCCTCTTCTCCTTTTCTTGGAGCCTCCTCCACCTCCCACACAGCAACACACGCACCTGAATCTCCCCCTCACAGTCACCTGACACCAACCACTGCACTCTTCATCTAAAGCCTCTCGTTCTGTTCTTCTGTTCTCAGCTGGAGCAAATATAAAAACTATGACCTATGCAATCAGTTTAACAACAACCATTACAAATATTACGGTCAACTACACAGTGTATAAGAGTTGTTTATCAGATTTCTAGTGCTTCCTGTACAACTATATATAAAGAAATAAATTCTAGTAAAACTAGAATCACACGCATGAGAGCGAATACCTCAGTTCTCTAAATATTTCAGATTTTTTTCTTGGGACAATCTAAAAAACACTGTGATAAAGAAAGTTCTTTAAGTTCTGTGTAAATCTGTCCGGTAGTTTTTACGTAATCCTCACCATGTTAAAAAAAAAGGAAATGGAACGGCTTCTTCCCTGGATCATGTCCCACCTCGAAATTTAAAAAAAATCTGTACTATCTTGGTAACTAACAATGATATTTCTGAGAAGTTCTAAAAGTAATTGAATGTCTTACCTAAAGAGAAAGTGATTCAATAATAATCTTGGCTTCATCTTATCATCATTATTCTTTGGTTTGACCCAGATTATTTATTATACAAGAGAGCGAATCTTATATCACAAATTCAAGTCAGAGGAGTGGATTCCACTGACCTGAGAGAAAGAGAGGGAGAAAGACAGAGAGAGAGAAGGCCGAGCCACGGCATGCCTTTCTAATTCACAACAGCTGAAGCAACACAGGACCTGAGAGTGGAAAGGCTGATACAACACACACACACGCTCACACACACACACTCATTCACTAACGCAGCATCTCAGACATGTATAGATCATAATTCACTTTCTCAATCACTCACAGATGCATACAGGGGTCAAAGTTGTAATAACTCTGTGTGGAGGTTAGAGAAACGCTCGGCCGGACGAATCAGGTTATACGATTACAGAAATTATGTTAACATGATCCAATCAGCCTGTTAGATAGCGACAGACAGAAAATAAGAGTCACACACACACACACACACACAGAAAGACAAATGGACACGAGTACACGGACTGAAAGGAGTCCAGGAAAATCCAGAGGGCCGGTAAACAGCACCGGCGTCCAGGTGACGTATGACTTGGATTAGCTGGGGAGTCACGGCAGGGTTACTGGGTTCTGACACACTGAACTCTCCGCGCTGCGCCGCACCTTAAAAGTTTGAGTTGGCCGTTAGAATCAGTCCTGCTGGAACTCATTAGGTGCAGTCAGACTTTAAAGGATAGGAACTTGGACTTCGCCTGACTCCAGCGGTGTTTATTCTTTGTCAGCCCCTTTCACACATTTTGTAGCTGTCGGTTCATTTAAACGTGTGGTTTGGATTATTTACATATAACCTACAACCGGAGCCCGCGTTTTTCATTACTATAAGAAGCTGGACCGACATCGTGGATAAAAGCATTTTTACTTTTCGGAGGTTATAAAACTTTTTTAGGGTCGTAACCGAGGTTCGAAGTTGTAATATTTGCAGTTAGATAGACAAAACAACCAGGAGCTTAAGTTACTGTAGAATTAAAATGAACTCATTATCCAGAGTCAATACAGAGAAACCGGCTTCATTTACACTCACACAGAAATACAGCTGTTATTGATCCAATCTTTTAATACAAGGTCATATTACACTGTGTATTAATATTGGATTTGACCCAGAGGCTGCTATTTGTCAACTTCAGGCCGACAGCACGTGTTTGATGTGATAAATGGAGAGTATGTTTGTAAAGAGCAGAAACAAAGGTGAAATACTGATGAATATCAAATAAAAAATGTCTAACAGACTTCTTTCACCTTATAAAGTCTGAACGTTCAGTTTTAGCAGGAAATCTCAGACCCTGGTGATTTATGATTTCCAGACCTGAACAGAAACGTTGCTGTGGACCTCTCTGACTCATCACATTAAAATACGGCCTCTCGAGAACATACGCAATAAATTGCACTGGTTTTATTCAACACATGGGAAAAATGTAATTTTACAAGGAACACACGGACGTTTTTGGAAAAGCTGCAGGGTCGAAAATCTCCACATCTGACTAACTGACTGCTAATTATTAAAATCCACAATTCACAGCCTCACAGCATGGGCCCAGAGACCCTGCCCCAGTTTGGCTCCACTGCTACACCCATCATTAAATAGTTGCTGACACAGTCGGTGCGTGGGGAAGGACAGTGAGTCACAGACACTGTGAGTGAAGGCTACAGGAGGATGAGGCGAAGAGGAGAGTCTGCGGAGAGACAGAATAAGAGCGAGCGGTAGAAAGTGTGAAGACAGGGGGAGGCTGGCAGTCGTGATTTAAGACAGGGACTTTCACAAAAATGTGTACACAAAGACACACAGACACACACACACACACACACGCCTCCTGCTCTGCTGTCACCCAGACTAACCAGCCCTTCCCTGGAATGTCCATCTGCAGCTACGGGGTTTAAAGTCTCGTAATGCCGTGTGTGTGTGTGTGTGTGTGTGTGTGTGTGTGTGTGTGTGTGTGTGTGTGTTTTTCTCATCCCACCCAGAGACTATGTCAGCTGCTCAGGGACAGAGGGAGTCAGGAACATGCAGAGGGATGTTGATGCCACACCCTTATGTGCGTGTGTGTATTTGTGTGTGTGTGAGGGTGGGGTGAGGAGACAGCTGAGATTCCGGTTGCACCCCGAAAAAGACAGGAATTAGAAGCATCCTCTGATGCAGAGTATACACACACACACACGCACACACACACACACGCACACACACACACACGCACACACACACACACGCACACACACACACACCTCTCATCAGCCCGCAGAGCAAACCTAAATACAAACACAGATTCCACAGTAGCATATACGTGCAGACAGGATGCCCATGTATAAACATGAACATGATAAATAGCAAAACTCTGACTGGGGAAAAAGAAAGACAGACAAGCAGACAGACAGACAAGCAGACAGACAGACAGACAGACAGACAAGCAGACAGACAGGCAGACAGGCAGGCAGACAGGCAGCAAAAAAAAGGCTGTGTCTGAAATAGTGTGGCTACCCGACACAAGCCCCTCTTCGGGACCTGATGGAAGTGGCCTGAGGTGATATTTGGGTTTGGGTGGAGTTCTTCACTGCTCGTGTCTGTAATCAGGTGAAACGTTTGGTCTGGAATCAGAATGTCTGTTGGGCTCGGTTAGTTTTCTTTTCGAAATTTGCAGCCCGGACTGCAAACTGATCTGAGATCACTCCCTCATTCACTGATGACCTTAAATAGAGATTTCACACATATTTTAATTAATTGGGTTTTTGTTGACAGGATTCCATCACAGTTATTATTTACTCTATAGATGAAACTTCAGATTATGGACAGATAAACAGGAAGGACATTTGGGTCCAACTTTAGTATCATTATATATTACTGATACAAATATTTTAATAATTTACTTTTAACTAATTAATTTTCTGGTTCAGTTTATACTTGAGGAGGTAAAAACCATAATCAAGTTCATCTTCTTTCATATGATTTTTTGCAATTTGTTTTAACACAAGCTAAAACATTGTCTTTTTGTGTAGTTGGAGTTTTAAACTCCTCAACAATCAGAAACTTGAACAAGTTGAAATACGAGCCGAGTCTCACGATGCAGCCAAACAAAGAACTGAGGTTTCATAAGAGTTTCTTTAAGTTGCATGATGAACGACAGAGGAAAGAAAGAGGTGAGGAGGAACTGGGTTTTCTCTCTCGACCCAGTAATCCAGTGTGAGATCACCGTTGGGAAGTTTTAACAATAATCTGACAACGACACCTCCCACTCCCATGACCCCTCATCCACCCATATTCACAACACACACACAAACACACACACACATAATGAGACACACAGAGACACACACACACACACCTCGTCTTTCTAAGCATTGGTATGACATCATCCCTCTGGATTGGAAATGGGGTCTGGTGGGGGAGGGGCGTGGGGGAGGCCTGGTCTCTTTTGGAGCCAGACAGACATGTTTAGGTTTGAAATGAGCCGAGCTGGATCAGTTACAGCGAAAGAGAGGGACAGGGAGAGAAGGTAGAGGGAGGTGAAGACAAAGCAGGAGGAGAGGAGAGGAGGAGGAGGGAGGAGGAGTGTGGATTTAAAGAGAGGATGAAAGAAATTCACATCTTTCTTTCACCTCTTCGGACTATCAGATATAAACTTACCATAATCCCTATCTGTCTCCCTGTATATCTGTGCAGCCTCATGATGCACATTCATTCTTATTTTCTGCCCTTTTCTCTATTTCAACAATACCCCCACTTGTCATCCTCCCCTCGTTGCCCTCCTATAAATACGACTCTGCCCCCAGATAGAGTGACGGACCATTTCTCTATGCTCTACATACCCCGCAGACAGTAGCTATTATACATTCTGCCCCCGCTATCACTCCTGCACCCAGAGAGCCATCGGCCCGTCTGCACCCGGCTCACAGTTCACAGCTTCAATGGAGGAAAATCTTCTTCTTATTGATTCCTGCTCCTCTGATCTTATTGATTTTTAAAGAGGGCATGGACAGAGACAGAACAAATATGATGCACACCGCAACACAAACCAGACATTTTATTATAAAGTAAAAATATATAAATTAAAGAACATGTTCAGTCAGGGTATATTTGATTGTTTAATTACTTATAACAAAGTTAATGGATAAACTTTAAAAATATCGCCACTCAATTACACTTGAAGGGTTTAATATCTATATTTTACATTTACTGTTTTTACAACTGCCTTTTAGAATCATGTAAAACTGTTGACTTAAATATTTCTTTATTCATTTGTGAGAGCACCTGTAACTGTGCACCAGGAGAGACACGTGTAACAGCCTCACACTGTCTGAGCTGGATCTGTTTCATGTGTCGCCTATTAGCGCTTTACAGCTCATCCTTCTCTCAGCTCCTCTTTATCTCCTCTCTCTGTTCTCTGCCACACAAAAACTCAACTCGCTCTCATTAAGAGACCTGCGAGGGGGAAGGAGGGAAAAAAAAAAAAGAGAGAGAGAGAGAGAAAGACCCAGAAACAGGCTGAGAGGGGTTGAGGAAGAAAGGAGCACGTAAAGAGGTTAGTAGCACTAGAGAGTAATGTAAGGGCAGCGAGGAGGCTTCAGTAAATATCCAAATAATCAAATGGGGGAGATAAAAAGAAGAAAAGAGAGAATGAAAGAGCAGGAACGAGCACAAAGAGAATCAGAAAAAAGTTCCTTGATCCACCCACACATCTTAACAACAGTGGAGCCGATCACTCTCCGGGGATGAGCACGAACACGGCTACATTTTTCAAACGCGCGGATGTGATTAGCGTTCACACGAATCATCGACCGTTCCAAAAAAACCTTCTCGGAGCATCAACAGAGAAGTGTTAAGTGTGCCCGTTGTGTGAGGAGCTCGTGCATACCTCTGCTAGGAGCTCACATTTTGAAAGTGGACAGGATGTTACATCATGGTAAGAAAATGTGCTCTTTAATGATAGTGGTCAGACCGAGAGAAGGTTCTGTGCTAACGAAACGAGCAGCAGGAGTAACGCAGTAAAACACAAAGGACCTGCCAGCAAAGTACATTCCTGAGGTCAGCTCAGCTCCGAGGAAATTCACGACAGTAAAAATCAATTTCTCTTAAAACACAGAAAGTCAAGTTCTGTCCCTGACACAACAGACATTCAATAACTGAACATCAGTTTTTCAGGACCGTGCTTTTTGCAGAATTTATTTTTCTCCTTCTTCCTGAAACAGATTTACTGATTTCCATGTTTCTCTGTTTTATGTCGAGGAACAATTAGAATCTTTGGGTTGTGTAATGTTGACCTCAGATAAACACAGACGACCTTTTCCCCATTTTCTGTTAAACAATCATTTAAAAACGGTCAAAGATGCATTAATCAATATTGTAAATAATCATTAGTGGAAATATTTCTGCTAACAAATTTAAAATCATATATTTCTACTCAGCACGTACCAGCTATTCTGGTCTTCAAACATTTAAGTGAGTTTTAAATGCACTTTGCAAAACGACGCCGACTTTCTTACTCGGGACTTTATCGTCCAGCGCTGCTCGTACTTTACAATAACTGGCAAATGCTTGAGATCAGTGAAACGATACCGATCAGGACTTTCCCAGGACTTCACTGAACCAACTGTTTCTAACCAGAGGAGACGAAGAAGAGAATGTGTAATTTGCTCTGTTGTCAAATTTAGACCATTTCACCCCAATGACAAGGCTAACAAGTTCAAAACGCTTTAATGAGGGAGCACGATGACGTGTGTGTGTGTTCGAGGAGAGAAAGAGAGAATGTGTGAGTAAGTGTGTGTGTGATACTGTTTGTGTGTGGGGGGTGAAGAAAAACGCAGAAGAAGAATCATAATTATCCTTTTGGAAAGAAAAAGCAAAAAAAAACTGTGTGATTCAGCAGCGTGTCAGAGATTTCAAAGAGATGTGTGACTCCACTAATCACCATCTCTTACAAACACACACACACACACAGACTCTGACCTCATGGTCTCTAGAGGAATGAGCGAGAGGAAACGATGTACACAAATCTCTTCAGAGCCTCTTTTCAAATACTGAGTGTCACTATTCATCTCTCTCTCTCACACACACGTAAACTTGAAGAATACAAAACAAGTTCAAACTTTCCGATTTTCTCCCGTTTTTAACAGAGTGGACTTTATAACTGCAGACAACATGCCAACAACATGTATGTGCTTTGTCCTCGTTCATGACAAAGAAAACCTGGAACCAGACCAAATGCAACAATGCAGAAGAAGAAGATAATGTGACGACACCAACACAACAAACTCAACTCTGCACACATCACACCCACGGAAATAACCACCAGCGAATGTCTACCCTACCTTGAACTCCTGCAGCTGCTGTTTGATCATCTCCACCTCTGTGCCCACCATGCCCTGTGCATTCAGCCCCTCTTCAGCTCTTCCCAGCAGGCCTTGCAGCTCAGCCACCAGCCGGTAGAAATCCTGAACCTTCCCAGCAGCGTCCTCGATCTGGTCCAACCGGGCCTGGCTGCGCTCACTCAGCTAACAAAAAAAACAATTGAGAGTCATGTGGATTGTGGAATAATTCATTCATGCAGACTTCAGATCAGGTTAACGATACACAAAATAATCTTCGTCCTTCTCCCTCACCTTGCCGGCTTGGCGGCTCAGAGCTTCTGTCTCCCTCCTGAGAGCCAGGAGGTCGGGGGAGGAGCCCTCTCGCCGCAGCATGCTGGTGCACTCCGACGCGTGACCCTCCAGCTCCGTCCTCAGGTTGGTCAGACGGGACAGGAAGCCCTTCAGAGTGTCTGCCTGAGAGGCCAGGGAGTCCGCATCACGTCCAGCGGGACTGAGGGAGTCCAGCTCATCATCAAGGTCGGCGAGGCGCGAGAAGACGTCCCGCACGTGAGACTGGACCTCGCCGACGCCCTGTAGACGGGACTCCAGGGAGGAGCAGCAGTGTTCGATCTGATGGTGGGACAAAAAGAACAAAAGATGTGAGGAGATTCAAACGGGAATAAAGTGAATCAAACAAAACGAGCAAAACAACTCATCACGCCACAAACGAACCACATAAAGAGAAGCTTGTGTGGTAACTTTCTCTGAAAAAAGAAATCCCTGGAACAGGATCACATGTAACGAAACCAGAAAATGATGCAACCCAACAGCAAGTAAAAATAGACGTAGTCAGCGTAGGTGCGAGAAGAAGACAAGAGGAGCATTATCTAAGAGAAGGCTCCTGCAGAAACATGACATCACATCAGCATTTCAAAAAGACGTCTCCGTGGGTAACGAGGTGGTTTGAACACACACCTCGAGCTCATGTGATACTTTTGACCTTAAATGGAATATTTAGAAGCTGTATTGCAGAAAATAGATGCAACAGCGTGGCTGCTGAATTCTGTCGGCTGTGGTTTACATTTCAAACAATGATTAAGTGTTGAATTTCCACAATGACCATATATGACGACTGTAACTGTAATAGGCTCAATCTTCTGGGAGCTATAGTTGTTCTGCTCTCTCTCAACTCACTGACACTTGTCTGCTAAGCAACCACACACACACACACACACTCGCGCACACACACACGTACTAGATGTGACACCCTCTCACACAGTGACCCCCTTTGGTATAAATAGTTCCCCCCTGTAGAACATCTCTTCACTCCAGACTGCATAAATTGTCGAGGTTACATTAAGTCATAACTGTGGTGACTGCTCTCGTCGCCCTCTTCCTTTTCATGTTCGGCTGTTTTTCCAAAGCTCGGTGCTTTTCATATATAGGTCAAGTAGAATTTGGATTAAATGAGCTTTAATTAGCCAGCTCTGGTCACATTTGGGAGGAGGAAGGACTCAACTAGGAAATAAAGTTTTTTCGAATAAGCCACAAAGAAATACACGTTCCTTAAAACCCTGAAATAATTTACATGAGTATGAACAGAAGAGGGAATTTGTCTCAAACCTCTGGATCCAAACCTGCACGTCGTCACATTTTAAAAACTTGTTTCAGTCTCTGTTCTTTTTATTTGTTAACTCTGAAGCTGCACAATTCACCTCAATATATAAACAGATCTAAATATTTCTGTCTGTTCTCCTGACCATGACTCCGCTCCTCACCTTGCCAGTAACGTCATCATACTCGTTCTCTGTGTCTTTGGCCTGCTCCTGAAGCCTCTGTGCCCCCTCAGTTCCTCCCCCTGGTGTCCGCGGAGCATCCTGCACCAGCCCCTGGGCCAGGTCTCGGAGGTAGACCACCTGAGGCTGCAGGGACCTCAGGTTCTCCTGCTGACTTCTCAACCGCTCCAGGCTCTTGGCGCTGCACGCCTGCGTGGAAGAGAGAAGATATGATTCCTTCTGTGCTTAAAATGATAGTGAGACAAATAACCAGGGACGCTTGACACTGTCTAATGAGTGTCACTGACAATATGGCCGACTGGTTTTCAGTACCTGAGGACCCAGAGCCTCCTGCACTTCGATCTGGTGCTTGGCAGCCTCCAGCCTCCTCTCCACGGCCTGTCTGCCCTCCTCAAACTCCTTCAGGCGGCCGGCCAGCTCCTCCAGCTGGGAGGTGCGGTTGTGGAGCCTCTCTCCCAGTCCATCCACCCGGCGGTTCAGCTGGGCCTTCTCATCTCGTACCTACGGCAAATAAGTTTTAAATCGTTTCAGTTTTCTTTATTTACTTAATCTGTGACTGAATCACTGACATAACACCAGGTTTGCACCTCTTCCTCCCCGACGCAGCACTGTTCCAGCAGCTGGTCGGCTGCAGTGTTGAAGGACTCGAGGAGCGGCTGCCGTCTCTCGAGGTCAAGAGACAGACCTCGTGTCCTCTGTAAGGCTTCATCCAGCGCAGATGAATCCAGCGACGGTTGGATCTCTCCATCTTTCTCTTCACAGTCTGATAACCATGGGATCAGCTCTGCCTTGTGCTGCTGGTAGGTCTCCGCCTTGCTGAGTGTGTTCTTCAGTCTGCTCTCACGCTCAGAGAGTCTCTGGTTCAACCCCTCCCAGTCCTGTCGCAGGGACGCCAGGTGAGACTGAAGGGTGGACCGCTCGTCTCCGCCCGCTGGGAGAGTGGCGAGCAGCGACGCTCCCTCGGCCTGAATCAGCTCATAGGAACCTCGCTGACTGGCGATGCCGCGCTGGAGCTCATCTGTCTGTGCCAGCAGGGAGCGGATGGCCTGCGGCTGGCAAGGCAGGGAGTCGGTGGTTGAATCTCTGGGATCTGCCTGTTTGTCGAGCCACGAGCGCAGCTCCTCAAACATCTGCTGGAACTGCTGGGTGGACGACAGGGCCGCCTGGAGCTGAGAGAGACCGTCCGCTGGAGGAGAGCAAAGCAGAGAACAGGGGATTACACACATAAACACTGAAGGAGAAGTTTAAACAAGAAACCACAAAGAAGACTTGTGGATTCTTTGTTGTATTTATTTTAGTGGATTTGTCAGAAGAGTTTTCTTGTAATCAAAACAATAATCCCAGAAGAGCTAAAGAGGGATCATATGAAGACCAACACAGCTTATAAACCAAATAAACTCCACAAACCTGCACGCTCCTCTAGACTCCTCAGTGGCGCGCTGACGCTCTCCAGCCGTTTGCTCAGCTCTTCCTTCAGGTACGGTTCAGCTACGATGGCGCTCAGCTCGCGGCAGAGCCTCTCAGCCTCGGCAAGCTCGGTCCGCCGTCTCTCCAGCTCTGAGCGGATCTCTCCGGTTTCCTGCAGGCGGCGTTTCAGCGCCTCTGGCTGGGCGCTCAGTGAGGCCTGAGCATCCAGCCTCTCGCCCAGAGCAGAAACACTGGAGGAGAGCTCTCTGAGCAAGGCCTGAGCCGGAGAGGAGCGAGGTGAGAAAACTCTTCCTGTGATGGTGATGCTGTCATTTCAAACAACTCTACTGATCTCACCTGGTAGCATTCGCTGGTTCCCTGGGCCTGATCGATGTGGCTTGACCTCTGCGTCAGTCGGCCTGTCAGGTCTTCCCACTGCTGCGAGATGGAGCCCAGCTCAGTCCGCACCTCCGCCAGGTCCTTGACGTCCTGAGCAGAGTCTCCAGTCTGGGAGAGGATACCCTCAGCGGACTGGGTCAGCTGCTCAAACTGCGGCCGCCTGGTGTCAAACTCACGCATCATGAACTGAAAGAAAGATGTTTAAAGCATAAAAAAGCCTGAAGAGACTCAGGGGGACATTCTACATGACTCGTCGTACATCTTTTGGCAGAAACTCCAGGAGCGTGTCTCTGCCACATACCTGCACTTGTTGTTTCTGTGTGGTGAGCATGTTCGGGTCGATGCTCAGCGGACCCAGCACGCTCATCATCAGCTCCTTCTCCCTCAGCCACGGGCCCAGCTGATTGGCCGCCGAGGCGAAGCTGCCCAGCCGGTCGGCACACGTCTCGAGCTCCGTCTGCCTCTCGGCTGCGTTCTGATTGGCTGTCTGCCAGCGGGAGTCTGAGGAAATTAAGCAATAGAGGATAAAAAAACTAAATGTGGATAATTGTGTTTCTTTATATTTCACTAAAAAGAGACAAAGTTCTACAACAAAGTCAGTGACGGAGATGAAATCAGTTATCTTGATTTAACATTCCTTCCTCTGTCTTTCCTCCTACCTCTTCTTCTGTCTCCTTCTCTGACTCATGTTCTGAGCCTCCAGTGTGTGTGTGTGTGTGTGTGTGTGTGTGTGTGTGTGTGT